ATTCGGCGGCGGTTGGGCGGTGCCGGCGCGGGGGCTAGGGGGCCGCGAGGGTCAGTCTCACCCCGTGCGGCTCGTGTTTGTGTAGGGCGTGTCCCAGCCCGGCAGCTCGGGGATCCAGGGGCGCGCCCACGAGGCGGCAAGGGCGAGCGCGGAGGCCCTGCGGCTGTGCGGGCGGAAAGGCTCGCGGGAAGCCGCGTCCGGCTCTCCCCTTACTCTCTTCGGCCCTGAGAGGAAATTGGAGTCAGCTTCCTGTGAAGGAGCATTCATGGCCGAGCTGGGAGGCACGTGGGTGCACAAAACCCGGAGCCAGGAGCCAGGAACCGTTAGGCCACAGCGAGTGCCTCTACAGCAGCACGCAGCTGCTGGAGAGAAGCCAGGAACTGGGATCCGTATACACCGCCAGCTGCAAACCTCGTCGGGGTTATTCCAGAAATTCTTCCCGAGAGCTTGAGCGTTTGCCTGGGGGTGCGCATCCCACAGTGAGGAGCCCTAAAGATTCTGATCTGTTCTGTCACAGCGTGTGCCCTGTAGTGGAGTTCAGGCCCAATCAGGGTCACAAAATCCACCCAAAAGAAGAAGGAAAAGGTGCTCACATGTATGTGCTGGAATTTCAGAGAGCTTTTTACTCTATGTGAGATTTGACTTTTTCCCGATTTTTTTTACAATGAACACTTTATTGCTTCTGTGGGCAGATTTTTATTTTTCAGTTTGAAAAGTAGTCAAATTTTTATTATAAAACCCACAGAACACAAGCTCTCCGGTACAACTAGAAAACCCACTCACTTGAAACAGCTCTAAAGGAAATGTGCCTCATCCTGGTCACTCCTGCCGCACTAGACCAGGGAGGCAGCCCACCACGTGTCTGTAAGTCCCAGGAATAGAGGGAATAAATCAGATCATGTCTCTATATGAGCTCAACATTATTACACTAAAAATTTCATTTTCTAGTGTGAATTAATGAATTAAATTGAGACGAGTACCTAGGATCACCAAGCCTCTTTAACCACCACCTCTTCCCAGTATGGGCCCTGAAATGGATGGATTTGATATCTTGGGACCCAGGAGTAATAACCAGTTTGGGAGTCTTAAGCAAGGCAGTTTCCTTTTCTGTTAAATGGGTGTGATAATAGTCACCTTCCTGAACTTTGGGAAGATTAAGTGAAGTAATGACTGTAAGGGCTGTAGCAAGTTAATAAGTTAGGGCCTTTCTTCCTCTGTGTGCTCACCTTCCCTGCTCAAACATTCTGTCTCTCTCGATAGCCCTTCCTAGACCGTGGGTGCAATAGAAAGAGGGTTTATCTTGGCCCTGCCCTACTTGCAGAGGTGGGTGCATCACTGTGAGAGCTGGAGGCATTCTGTTAAAGAAGCTCAAAATCTGACTGAGAGACAAATCCAAGACACAAAAAGCCTGTCTCTGACCACATACTATACTAAATTCCTAGTCTGGGAAATGGGCTGAGTGGTTCAGAATTAAATAGCCAGGTCCCTGCCAGAGGGCGGGGAGAAAAAGTGACCTGGAGCAACATCTGTACCTGTGGGAAAGGGTGTGGCTACCCATTGGCCCAAGACAGCAATCAGTCAACATCCGTGTGACATCTCCAGTGGAAGAGGAAGCCAGGAGAGATAACAGCTCAGCCAGGTGTTACTGTGGAGGAACTGTAATTTTAGATAGGATGGCCAAGGAAGGCCTTATTTAGAAGGAGATACTGAAGACTTGAGAACTTGAAAATGGTGCTCCAGAACTAACCAGTTGTATATGATTGCCAGTTGTTTATGATGTTGCCCTGTTTCCAAGGAGAGTGATGAAGAGCCCAGTTTCTTACATCGTAAGTTATTTTTGCAATGGTGCCGGTGGATTTACACTTATCTCTCATGATCTCTTACCCTCCCACTTTAGTTTCTTTTTCTACTTTCTTCTCAAGCTACTGGGCCATTTCTATCCCTCTATTTCAGCAAAACATCTCAACAGAGCTGTTTATGCAAACAGCCTCTCCCCTCTTCCCACCTCCCATTCTCTTTGGAACCCATTCCCTTCTGGCTTTTGTCTCTGCTGCTCAATTTTTCAAGATCACTAATTCCTTCCAAGTTACGAAATCCAATAATCTGTTGTCAGAAGTCATCTTACTTGACTTCTCAACAGCATTGAGCAGATGTGATCTCTCTGTTCTTGAAACCCTTACTCATTGCCGCATATGCCTACTTTTTGGCCACTCTGCTTAGCCTGCTCTGCCTGTCCCCCTCACCTACTTTCTCCCAGGACTTCAGAGAACCCTCTAGCAAGCAGTGCTTGGACTTGAGGTCTCAACCTGTTTCGTTGCTTTAAAACTCATCTATTCAACAACCACCACGGGGGAGAAGGGTATAAATGGTGGAGTATGTGCCTAGCTCCAGAGTTCAATCCCGGGTACCTCTGCTAAAAATAATAAATAAACCTAATTACCTTCCCCCACAAAATAATTGATTAATTAAATTAAAAAGAAAACAACTACCACATATCTCCAGCCCAGACTTCTCCCCTAAATTTCAGCCTCACCTGTCCCCTTGCCCAGGCCATGCCTCAGTCCCACTGCACAGTAGGCATCTCACACTCCCCCAGAACTTGCTCCTCTTAAAGTCTTCCCCATCTTGATAAATTACAGTCCCTTCCTTCCAATTGCTCATACTAACGATCTAGGAGTCACTCTAGACTCCCCTATTTCTCTTACACCCTACATCCAACCCATCAGCAAATCTTGCCGGCTTCACATTCAGAATAAGTCTAGAGTGTGATCACTCCTCCCTGTGGCATTCAAGAATCTGCCCACGCTTACCTCTGGACATCTGGCCTCATCTCTACCCCTTGCTCACTTAGCAGCCACCATCTAACCTCTTTCATAGCCCTAGGATTCACCCAGACCACTCTTCCCTCAGGCATCACGGGGCTCACCCCTCAAGTTCTCAAGTCTTTAGTATCTCCTAAATAAGGCCTCCCCTGGCCACCCTATCTAAAATTACAATTCCTCCACACTCCCTGTCCTCCTCACTGCCTTCTTTTTCTCCTTTGCACCCACCACTTAACATATATTTTACTCATGGATTTAGTGTGTATCCCCCAACTAATATGTATTTTCCATAAGGGCAGGAATTTTTTTTACTGTTTTGTTCATTGCTACATCCCAAGCTCCCAGAAGAGTGCCTAGCACACAGTAAGTGCTCAATAAATATTATACAAATGATTGGATCAAGAGAGGTTTACCAACAGCAGCAGATATTTAATTTGCACAGCCTTTCTTTGGACTAGACATTTTGTCCACAAATTTGTCATAAGAAGTTCAATACATTATTTAAATAATCTATTCAAAATTTTATGGGAAGATACTTAAGAAACTGTTGACACTGGTAACCTTTGAGGAAAAAGACTAAGGGTTAAGGCTTTCATTTTTCATTTATATATTTTCGTAGTGTTAGCATCTAACCACTTAT